TGGGATTAAAGATTTCAACACTGGAAAGAATACTGACAATGTTTAGTTTGGAGCACTCTTTCCCAGCCACAGATGTTGATTAAAGTTATCACTATTCACCATCCATCACAGGTAGTGCCACAAATAAACCAACATGCCTTATATCTATTCTGCTGAATCCCTAAGAGTTTTGATTTATTATTCCTGGACTGTCTTTTGGATCACTGTCCTTTCTATGTCAGATTTGATCTCAAGGGGAATACCGGCACGGTTTCAATGCATGTACTAGGAGAAAACGTTTGGGCCAAGCATAGTAATCTAGCCCAAGCAAACAAGTGTGTTCGGTGTGAGGAAGCAGCAATGTGCTGCTCAGTGATGTGCATCCGTGTGTTTGTCAGAACTGTGCTAATGAAAGAATGTAAATAACAATGTTTACAATATGCCAATCATGTAGCTGTTTTCATGCATAATGCTCTGATCAAATTATGCATCCCTCCAATGTATTGCAATGTACTGTAGGTCTTGAAATAAATGTTTTAGATTCCTACCTAGATACATCTACCAAGGTTTCCAAAACAGGATCTTGTATCATACACAATAACTACACATATGACATCAATAACTAGACCTAGCATGTTGAACAAATTTAAACAGAGACTCATTATACCCTGTTAAAACAACGGGATATACAATACCATAAAAGTGAGATAGCATCTAATATCAAATAACAAAGGCAGCATTCTGCCATTGAAGAAAGCAGGCTGCACTGTGAGCAAAAATGACAGGCACAAAGAAAGGCTCAAGCCCTTGTTGAGTCAAAATAATGTTCCTGTGGTGCTTTAGAACGAAGGTTCTGATTGTTTGCGCAATTGTATTGTACACCGCTCTGCTCCCCAGCACACAGTAGGAGACTGGGAGAGGGGAGTCATCACACAGGCCCACACACAACCTGCAGGGTCAGGGAGGGACAGGGTTGGGGAAGGAGATGCAGGTACAGCCAAACTGGGTCATGATGAGTTTAAGCAGTGCTCTACAGGAGCCGGTGTAGCATCAAGGAGACCTGTGATTGTTTGACAGGTGATTGATTAGGGAACAAAGCAGTGGTTGCCGTTATCGACCTACAATCCACTCCCATTCAGTTTCATCTCCATGCCATATGAATGGCACCAGTGGATATTACTCAGTACTCTAACCAGTGTTATTTTCTACCTTTGGATAACAGCATTACTCCTACCATAGGGACACTGCTTCCATCTTCTCAGTGGCTAAATACATGTTCCTGGTGGCTGAAGAGAAACTGTGAGATAAACTGTGACACAGATGTAATTTATGGCCTAAATCAAGCATGTTTTAAACTCCAATAATGATTGTAATACTTCAATTTACTTAAACATACAACAACACAGATGATCCCTCAATTACCCTGTGCACAACATATGGCCGTGGCTTTGACTAATGGGAAAAAAAAACTGACTCATTGCTGAATTGCTAAAATAATTGTCAAATGCCTGAAATAGCTGGAAAAGCAATTCAGTGATGACTGGTATTTCCAGATGAAAGAAGCTAATTGGCCCTGGGTTTGTTTAAGGAATTGTGATTAATGGAGTTCCTAATGAGTGGTTTATGAAGAAAGCAATCTGTCTCTGTGTGACAACTTCTCATCAGGGAAAACAGTACTGTTCAGTTACAACAGGCTACTGCCACTGAGTGTCCCTGTCTGTTAGTTCCCTGTTCTCTTCCCTTGACAGACAGCCACAGCACAGGAGTACAGCTAATCTTCCTCCCACTCACAGGGGACAAAAGACCTTCCCCAACAACCCACTCAGCCCAACACAACGGGAAAGGATGACAACAACAACAATGGAGCACTGAACAATGCCATGAAGGATGAATTCACATCAGTGTGTTTGATGGTGGTATCAAAGGTAACAACTGCAGATGAAGGTTGTAAAGGCACAGTTGTAGAAAGAACACAGATGGCTTTGCAGTACACAGTAGAGGGGTGAATGTGAGATGGCACTTACTGAAACGGTGGTGACTGTACAGATCCTCCTCATCCTCATCATCACCTTCGTCATCGAAGTATGCTTGAGATGGAAGACACAAAAATGTAAATAATAAGAACAAAAAATAAATACAGAATGGCAAATATGAAGACAAGACAAGCCCCCCCCACCCCCACACACACACAAACAAGAAAATAAATATTACACTTTAAAGAAAAAATATCCCTATCATTGAACACTAACATCCTGATAACCCTGAACCCTTTCAGGGCAAGTTTCTATCTGCAGTCTATTCCCTATCTAGAACTAACACATTGTCAGTCATGCCTCCACTCTCAACGCAATCTATACACTGGGTGTTCTCACATACTCCTAGACTTTTTCATTTACTTTACCATTTTCCGAACTAGAACATGGAATCCAATTTAAAGAAGCAGTGGGGTTTCTCGCTCTATTTCGGAGTCTCATTGTAATTTTGATATTTTATTGTATTGACTAAATCTGCCACCAGATGTGCTTGGTAAAAGAGGTATGGCACACTGTTATCTAAAGTGTCATTTCCTGCCGGGTTCCACATTGCCATCATTTGTCACATCAGTGTACTGAATGTGCCTGTGAACATCCTATTGCTCCCTGCACATTATGAGTCTGCAAATATAATATAGTCACAAGAATGCAAACAATGTCTCCCCATTGCTGTATGAATGTATGAAAGAAAACTTCACTCCACGTCAACTGTATTGATATTCAGAGTAAGTAAAAATGTGCTGCAGACTGAATGGTTCTGTATTCAGTGTAGTGCTACGGGCATGAGTAAAGCACACCTTTACAGTATTTATGTGGGTATGACTAAGTGCACTATCATGCTGCTGGTATGACTCTTAGTGCACTCAAACCTTAGCACACTACAATGATGAAAGGAGGTTTTGTTGAGGGGCATATGATTCCACAATATGGAAATAAGGGTATGGGGTAGACAGCTGGAGAAGGACAGGCACTTTCCCCAACAAACTACAGCAGCTCTGTTTTCATCTGCCTCCTCCAAACTGCAATCCATTTCCAGGTGGGGAACAGCTGTGCATTTCCCAGCAAGCAATCTTTAATCTGAGAGGTTTTATAAATGGACTGTGTAAATGGTTAAGTTATGTTAACTACCCTGCATAACAGCATCCCCTTAGTTACTAGAGACCACATTGTGTGTCTGACTGCGATAAACACAAAGCCAATCCCTGGTTCCACATCCTTCGCCAAATACAATGCTCTTACCTCTGTCTTTGATGGTAACAAGTGAAACAAGACAAAGATGGATCGGTTTTCAAAGCAGACAATGACAATTTCAAACAGTGAATTTTCACACAACTCTTAAAGTCAGCTCCTCTTTTGCAAAGGGAAAGGGCAGACCCCATTAAGTGGCAAATTGCAGTCTCGCAAGTTAATCAGACAGCATCAGCATTGTGCAGGGGAACATATGAAAAGTCATTATTGCTAAATCAATTCTCAATTACCTCCTTTGCTGTAGCCGTCGACACGTTAAATAAACGTTCAGCACTGTCACCGCCATTTTCCCAACAGGCAACCGCAGTAAAGGCCCAGTGTGTGTTATTCTACCACATAACAAATGCTAATGGCCTGTAAACAATCGTGAAATAACAGTATAGATAGAAGTGGGACAGATAAGCATGGAGGGGAACGGCTGCCATTAGTGGATTCATTAGCGCCTGTCACACCTGTGCCCAGGAAATGCCTCGCCTGGCTGGGCCCCTGTTCCTGTCATGCTGCGCTGCACTAACGTTAGCCTAGCTGGCTGCCAATCCCAACACTTTCAGCACGCACAAATGAAATGAAATGAGGGCCCCTTTTACTTCTCCCCCTCTTATCAAAATAAGACAGAAAGAAACAAATGTAATATGGAGAACATTTTGACTGTTAAGTTAGTGACATTTGGCAGACAATGACAACAGCTATGACAACTCTTTCACAATGTTATTTTGTCAGTCGTGTTGGGCTGTAATCCTACAGTCAGCAGCCTTTCATTCCAGCGCCGTAGCTCCACTACTATTGGCATGCCACTGGAAAACAACCAAGCCTATGGCAACCTGAGACATCATTCACAGGAGTGAGGATGAATGTTGACACACACACTGAAATACACCCAGACCCAAAGGGCCTGCCAAATTTTGTTTCAAGGAGGATGGTTGTCCTGGAAACCATAGCTAAGATTTGACTTAGAACTAATGATTGCCCACTTGCTCCATAATTTTCCATTACTGACAGACAGACATGTTCATTTCCATTCATTTAACAATCCAAGTGACACAATGTAGAGATTTAGAGAGGGAGACAGGCAGACACGCCCTGGTTGTTAAATTCAACAAATCTCTTCATAATTAGATTGATGTTTGTTAATGAGATATGGGATACCAGTGAAATGTGTGATTATGTTATAACTGGAGAGATGGGGATCCACCTGTCAGTCTCCCACTACCATTTTCCTACATGAATTCCATCGTAAATGACGACTACGTCCACCAACATACAGGTACACGTGTGTGATTTCTGAGTGCCTAACCCATGGAATCTATGTTATACTGCTGACACGTGGAATCTTTTAAGCAACAATTGAAGCTATAGTCTACTGTATGTTGATCGGATACACCTGTGGCATCAACAGTATGGTACTGTAGTTGACACTCCTCTCTGATCCCAGTAGGCATGGCAGTAAGTTAAGTGTTTCACTATACAACCCCTGATGCTCCCCGCTGTGAATTAGCATTAAATCAATTTATATAATGTTTTCAGCTCTTCACAAACTTTGTCTCCTACCAAGCTGTATTCTATATTGACAATTATTGTGTTATGAAGTCTCTGTCTGCCATTACCCGATGGATAAAATGCTTCTGCACCAGTGCATTTTGACTCTAGTCAGATATCAGCTTCAAAGACTTTCAATACAACAAATAACAGACAAATCCTGCTGTTTTAATGAGGGCCGGGATGCTAATAAGCCCATTGTTTTTATTCCGCTTTGGCGTGTGTGCAGGGCCCTCTCTCACTGCGTCTCTGGCACAGAGGCACAGCTCCCAGAAGGCAGCGGGCGAGAGCGAGGCGAGGCAGCAGGCGCTGTGGAGGAGCTAGAGGGCCAACAGAAGTCTGTGACACTCTGACAGGCCAGATGAAGGGGAGTCACTTGGAGTCAGTCGCTGGGCATGGTGACGACAGCACTGTGGTTCAGTTAATCTCAGCTGTGTTCGCCAAAAGACCCCCCTGACCCAAAAACAACCATAAAACACAGTAAGGTGATAATGAGCAGAACTGAGAGAGACAGTGCCCCCCTCGCCTCGCCCTGCCTCGCCTCACACACAGGACAAACACAGTCCTCTGCACTCTACTGCTAGCGCTAGTCATCCTGTGGTCTCTTGATCAAATCGAACGCTCGTTTCGCTGTCCTTATTAATTAGCTCCCATGGTGAGAATACATTAGTGTCTGGAGTCTTGCTGCGTGCGCATTTAATTCAATCTACACAAACACTTTACGAACCAATCTATAAAAAAGGCATATTAAAATGGATCATGCAGCGCCGTGCATGGGGATCTGCTCTAAGATAACTTATAGGCTAGGGTGGATGGAGGACGCAGGGATTTAATTTCTGGCTTTCACACTGAAAAATAACCCTTTTATGGAAAACAAAGGCTTGTGAGCACTCCCTGATGCATATTGTACTGTGAACAATGCAGATGATTCCCCAGTGGAAATCAGCACCACGTAATTTGCAGCGTGAGCCGGGTGGCGCGAGACGTGATGCGCGACACCTACGGGGAGACCACAGCATGCGTCCTCATGCCCCCACACTCACAGAGCTCTAACAGAATCAAACAACGGGATCATCTTCCATTGTCTAGAAATTACAACCACGTATATAATCAGGTAGACAAACGCGTGTTCAAACACTAATCAGAATCCAACTACAACACCTCTCCTCTAAAACCTGCCATTACTGCCAAGCTCAGAGTGCAAAGAACACGACAGATCATTTAACATACACAAACCCCCGATGCCCAGGTAAACACAGGGAGAAGAGATGGAGGAGAAGGGACCAGAGGAAAACACTATAATTTCACTCAAATTAATATTCTCATTGGCAGCAATCACAAAATCATTGCCATCCTAGTAGGCATACTGCTAGGACGTTAGTGAGAAATGAGAGTCAGAGTGGGGCTGGTATGCTCTACAGTAGCATGCTCTCTCTGTGTGTGGTGATGGTTTCAGAGAGACGGCTAGCGGAGAAGAAGCCAGCGGGATAGAGGGAGGAAGAGACAGAGAAGGAGGAAAAGAGCTGATCTCTAAGAGACTCTGTCAATCAGAGCAGCACGGCTGACTGCCTCAGCACAGTGGGAGAGATCGTGTCCAGGACTTAATCTGATCAAAGTCCTGATCAGGATCCAGTGTTGGTGGCTCTATTGCTCTGGGTCCATTCAAAAACACTTCTGATTGGTGAATTTAGTTACTGAGACCGTGTTCAGTAGTGTTGAGCGATTGGTGCTTTTTGAGGTCGGTTCGGTTTCGGGTCGATTATTTAAAAATGATTACCGTTTTCTGATTTTTCGGTTTTGATAAAAAAAATTGACATTAAATGCACTAACCATTATGTGGGTTGAATGCTGTAACAACACAGAATAAAACAATTAATACAAGTCCCATGATGGTAGTGAATGCCCATTACTGCTTATCACTTATTAACCATAATTTATTCACATGACTTTAATTTAATAAAATATTTCAGTTGTTGTATATATTACATTTGTTTTAGGCCTATATGATGGCTTTATTGTTTAATTCCAAGTCATCATCTCATCTCTATAGAGCTGCTGCCTATGCTGTCTGACAAAATCACTATTTTAGTAGTTCTTCAAAGTATATTAGGGATACTGTTATGACTGAACACCAACTATCAATCTTACAACATGTTTTTTCAGGTAGAGATAGCTCATGAAGCAAATGCTCTGTATCCCTCTCGATCGCCCGTTCTTCTGTCTCTTCTCTCCGTCTCAGACCGGACAAGTAGGTGCGCAATGGATTATGGTCGTTGTAGTTAATTACCACGTTTTCTGCGCTAAACTATGTAGAATATTGGCATGTTGGAAACTACAACTCCCTACTACATTGCACAGTTCGGGCTTGATCTGATTTATCTCTAGAGAAACTGCGCATTGCACTCACAGAAAAAAATGAACGAAATGGAATTCAAATAATTGAACTGACCTTGGTTGAGTAGTTGTTTAAAAAATGAAAAATAACAGACATTTTGGTTAATTGCTCAGCACTAGTGTTCAGTGACATTCAGCCAGACTGGCTTGGTAGCACTGACATACATTTTAAGTCAAGAAAAACATGTGCATCAAAAATCTGCAAGTGCACTTCCAAGGAGCTCTGTCTCTTTGTGTCTCTCTTCATCAATTTTACATGACACCCACCCTCACTACATTTCTCTGTTGGTTTCAGTCTCAGCTACCCCTTACTCCCTCAGCCTCTCTCTCCATTTCTCTTTCTCCACTCCCCCAATCCCTCCCCACCTCTTTCTCTCTTTCTGTCTGTCCTACCTGACTCGTCGTCAGACTGGTGTTCGTTGTCTGAGTCGGTGAGTGTGAGGGCTGAGTTTTCCCTGCTGAAGAGGCCGGAGCTGCGATGGGACTTGATCCCATGACCCCCCCACAGCTGGACGGCACGCTCCGGCGACATGACCTCCTCCGGGTCAGAGTCTGCGTCAGAGCCGGCGCTGAGGGAGTAGCCCAGCTGAAGCAGGCCCAGCTCCGAGTGGGAGGAGTGGTAGGCAGCCTGGTGCTGGTGCTGGGTCTGGTGCTGGTGCTGGTGCTGGGCCTGTTGGTCACTCACTCCCAGCTCCGCCAGTGTGAAGCTCCCTGAGAACAGCAACAACCCAGTTACACCCAGAGCAGGAGGGGTGGGTAGATGCTGTATGTGTATGCATATTATTCTGAGAGGTTTCTTGAGGCAGGCTGAAGCAGGTTTAAAAAGAGAAGTGACATTTAGATGTGTTAATGTTTGCTGAAATGTTTGCATTTCTTTAAAAACAGCATCTCAGATAAAGGGCATCATATGCAAGCTCAGTCCCCACACTATGTCAGTGTTGTCATCTACAAAGAGCTGTATTAGAAATTCCAGGGGTCACCCTGGAAATGTTTTATGTAGAAGGATTGAGAAGCTCTGTTCTGGTGACTTTTTTAAAAGGACATACTACTCCAAAATGAATGAAAATAAATGTATGCTGGCAACACATAATTTCCACCACCAGAAATTAGCCCTATAACATATTTTCTTACATATTAGACCATGCATATAGCCTATGCATGGTCCATATTATAAGGTATGCTATTAGGCGAATCATTAGCTAGATCCCAAATGCGATCTTTTAACTAATTAGCATCCTATTGATGAATTTTATGTCCCAAAAAATCGTTCATAAACACAGTGAATATAATCTAGTTAGAGTAACTTGGGTTAACACGCCCCCTGCCTGTACTTCTCACAGAAACCACTTCGTCACCATTTCCCCCCCAACACTTCCCCTGGTTGCCACTACTCTTGCTCAACAAAAAATTTAATCCGTCTCATCACTATTTTTTAAGTCCTCTGTAGCTCAGCTGGTAGAGCACGGCGCTTGTAACGCCAAGGTAGTGGGTTCGATCCCCGGGACCACCCATACACAAAAAATGTATGCACGCATGACTGTAAGTCGCTTTGGATAAAAGCGTCTGCTAAATGGCATATTATTATTATATTATAAAAAAGGATTTAGAGCTAGGGTGACGTTTTACCCCAAGTTACCCTACAATTGATCTGTGTTACATTTAGCCCCACTGTCCCCTATGCACTCATGGTGAATTGCGGATTGGAAAGGTGCTTAACCATGCCGCTGCTAATAACTCCGGTTTTAAAAGGGTGCAGTTCGAGCATATTTCGAAGTTGAGAAATAAACAAAGCAGTAATGGAAAGCTTGGATCCCCTTCTTTTTAACAAAGGCCATTAAAACTACTGTTTTCCCCGCAATTGCAAGAATAGTTGTGCATTGACTGCTTCTCAGAATACATGTTTGCCAATTTCTTTGCCGTGACAGCAATGATTTTGCCAATGGCGCAGCGCCACAGTTAAATGACTGCAGCGGAAACACTGCTCAACTATGCAGTTCTGAAGATAAGCAATTAAATTAATGGGGGGAAATGGACCAGAAATGTAATTTTCATTATGACACATTTGGCTGACCGGTGGATGCTCCTGTTCCATGGTCAGAGAAATGTAAAATAGAGAGAAATTAGACATAACAGAGATATAGCAATGGCCCAGGTTATTATGACAACATCGCCAAAATACCCTGTGGCTTGAAGAGGATTAATTGAAAACGAGGGTGAATAAAGAAAGGTCATGGTGTGGAGGAGGAGTGAGTACAAGGAATAAAAAATACAATAATGTTGAAGCTAGAATCCTTAGTTGTTACATCCATTTTTGGACATATAAATTAATGATATATACGCATTGATTCATGAAGAATATAACTTATAAATGCCTCATGAGCTTAGTGCAACTGTCATACCCCATTACAACCCTAAATATAAGCTTGTTATACTCTAATGTTTCGAAACAAAGTAAATGTAAACAAACACTTTATAGCCTCAAAACATCAAATATAAAATAGTTACAAAATAGTTAAGAATATTCTTTTCATGGATGGTCAGTCCTTGCATACATAGATCTCGATTTGAATTTGAGAGTGGTTACATTTCTCCAGGCCCATCCCTCAGCTTTTTAGGAAAGCACAGGTGGGGTGCCCACTTTGCTTTTGTTTCTGTTGATGATTCCATCATTAAAGCGGTAGTATTATATGAAGCTTTGTGGCAAGGGAAATGCTTCAGCAGTAACATGGAATATAACTCTGCTCTAAAAAAAGATTTTCGGACACAATCACAAAGGAGCCATCACCAGGTGTGTGTGTTCATGGCAGAAGGGAAAAGATGGGGGTTCTGAGTAATATATGGAGAAAGCATAGCTGCAGCAGTGCTGCATGTCAATGTGAAAACTGCAACTTCCACCACTCCTACTGCTTGTAGAAGTACAACAGCAGCTAATCAACAAGTACAACAGCATCGAATCAACAACCCCTTAATAAGGCACTTCAACTATGTGTTGAGACAGCAAGTCAGAGGAAGACCTATGAGTAATCCACACAAGTTGTGTAGAGTAGACAATAGTGTAGTGACAAAAACAATTACCTGAAATTAAAAGTACAACAGTGAGTCAATAAAATAACAGAGGCCCAATTAGGTTTCAGCTCCAGAATAAGAAATTGAGCAAAAGGTCATGCTCAACCAATACGTTTTGCTGCACTAATTAAAACAACGCTGCGGATGCAATCTCTTGCAATCAGCTGAAAAGTAGGAATTCAATTAATAACAAGAGCTCATTAGATAACTGCATTGAATTAATAATGAACAACATTAAAAGGAAGGTCTTAGCAAGGACAGCACATGGGTTGTGTACTGTACTGTGCCTTTAAGACATCATGAGCGGATATTTGTAGTATCAAAGGATAACAACGGAAATAGCAATCATAAAGGATAAATTAATCATGATCGACGTGGACCTGTGTATACTGTACAGACAAGCAGAATATGAGATGACTGTGCACAGATCATATTTTCAGATTGAACGCCCTGGGATTTCAAGACAAGACACTGTATAATTGTGAAAGTTAGATATTAGTATGAGGTAAGATGTGTATGATATATTATAACATTTAACACAGGCATGATACAAACATGAACACAAGCTAAATGCAAACATTATTGATAAGCAAACAACAAACTGTTTGAAGATTATCTACATCCACCCACAGAAGGAGTAAGGGGAGTTGGTTTGGTTATTTGGGACTGGACACTGGAGGAATCTTCACTGGTACACAACAGGTACAGTAAGAGAGAGGGGGTACAGTAGGAGGGTCAAACCTGTATATGTCCCCAAGGCAGGTGCAGAGAATACAGGTCCAGTATGGCTGTGGCACATACAGTGGGGAGAACAAGTATTTGATACACTGCCGATTTTGCAGGTTTTCCTACTTACAAAGCATGTAGAGGTCTGTAATTTTTATCATAGGTACACTTCAACTGTGAGAGATGGAATCTAAAACAAAAATCCAGAAAATCACATTGTATGATTTTTAAGTAATTAATTTGCATTTTATTGCATGACATAAGTATTTGATCACCTACCAACCAGTAAGAATTCCGGCTCTCACAGACCTGTTAGTTTTTCTTTAAGAAGCACTCCTGTTCTCCACTCATTACCTGTATTAACTGCACCTGTTTGAACTCGTTACCTGTATAAAAGACACCTGTCCACACACTCAATCAAACAGACTCCAACCTCTCCACAATGGCCAAGACCAGAGAGCTGTGTAAGGACATCAGGGATAAAATTGTAGACCTGCACAAGGCTGGGATGGGCTACAGGACAATAGGCAAGCAGCTTGGTGAGAAGGCAACAGCTGTTGGAGCAATTATTAGAAAATTCAAGTTCAAGATGACGGTCAATCACCCTCGGTCTGGGGCTCCATGCAAGATCTCACCTCGTGGGGCATCAATGATCATGAGGAAGGTGAGGGATCAGCCCAGAACTACACGGCAGGACCTGGTCAATGACCTGAAGAGAGCTGGGACCACAGTCTCAAAGAAAACCATTAGTAACACACTATGCCGTCATGGATTAAAATCCTGCAGCACATGCAATGTCCCCCTGCTCAAGCCAGCGCATGTCCAGGCCCGTCTGAAGTTTGCCAATGACCATCTAGATGATCCAGAGGAGGAATGGGAGAAGGTCATGTGGTCTGATGAGACAAAAATATAGCTTTTTGGTCTAAACTCCACTCGCCGTGTTTGGAGGAAGAAGAAGGATGAGTACAACCCCAAGAACACCATCCCAACCATGAAGCGTGGAGGTGGAAACATCATTCTTTGGGGATGCTTTTCTGCAAAGGGGACAGGACGTCTGCACCGTATTGAGGGGAGGATGGATGGGGCCATGTATCGCAAGATATTGGCCAACAACCTCCTTCCCTCAGTAAGAGCATTGAAGATGGGTCGTGGCTGGGTCTTCCAGCATGACAACGACCCGAAACACACAGCCAGGGCAACTAAGGAGTGGCTCCGTAAGAAGCATCTCAAGGTCCTGGAGTGGCCTAGCCAGTCTCCAGACCTGAACCCAATAGAAATTCTTTGGAGGGAGCTGAAAGTCCGTATTGCCCAGCGACAGCCCCGAAACCTGAAGGATCTGGAGAAGGTCTGTATGGAGGAGTGGGCCAAAATCCCTGCTGCAGTGTGTGCAAACCTGGTCAAGACCTACAGGAAACGTACGATCTCTGTAATTGCAAACAAAGGTCTCTGTACCAAATATTAAGTTCTGCTTTTCTGATGTATCAAATACTTATGTCATGCAATCAAATGCAAATTAATTACTTAAAAATCATACAATGTGATTTTCTGGATTTTTGTTTTAGATTCCATCTCTCACAGTTGAAGTGTACCTATGATAAAAATTACAGACCTCTACATGCTTTGTAAGTAGGAAAACCTGCAAAATCGGCAGTGTATCAAATACTTGTTCTCCCCACTGTACCTGTGTAGTGCATACCTGACAGGAAATAGCTGATGCCGATGGGGGCCAGCTCCACGTAGGCTGAGTGGGTGAGCAAGAAGACAGCACAACTACCATCAGTCAGGATTCTTTGTAATGTGCTGTACTGTACTTTATAAAACTGGTTGTTTGGATCCTGGATGCTGATTGTACGAGCAGTGTTCCAAGCCATGCTGTATTGGCCGTCACAGACACACCTATGCCGGCTAACAGTTCCATCTGAAAATTATCACTTAACCTCCATAAGAATATCATGTTCACGTTGCTGTCCGAATCATCTCTTGTATTTATCTCAACGCACACATTATTTCCCCTTGCTTCCAGCCTAGCATTTAGTTTGGTACTTTGGTATTTTGATCTCTGTAGTACCATACATAGAGTGAACGGTGCCCAGGTGAGACGAGACAGCTTTTTCTGAGCCAGTCGAAATCACGCATCAATGTCATTATCATGGATCCAATTAAACGCCAATAGAAAAAAAGATCAAACAAACGAAAATGCAGACAGTGTACTGTCATTCCAGGTTACATTTTTGACGTGGGTGAGTTAGCTGAAGTTGGCTAGCAAGCGACAAGACCATTATCCTGCCTGCATAGCAACTATTTTGTTTAGAACGGACGACCAGTCTTTTTGCATAGCAACTATGCAAAAATAATTAACGACTGGGTCGCATCTGTAGCAACATGAACCAAAATAACTAACAACCCAATTTTTGTCTGGAATGAAATTGTATGAATTGTCATTTTAATGAAAATATGTAATTCATTGTTATTTGAATATTTTGGTAAGAGTTTTCTAAAAGCAATAAGGCACGCGAGGGCAATGGGTTGACTGGCCCTCCACTATCACGTTGGGCCGAACAATGTCATTTACCAGTGACTGTATTCATGATACAGCACTGCCTTGCGTGCCTTACTGCTTAAGTATAATCTTCTAATACAATATACATGTACAGTGCGTTCGGAAAGTATTCCGACGCCTTGATTAAATAGTTTTTTTCCCTCATCAATCTACACACAATACCCCATAATGACAAAGCAAAAACAGGTTTTTAGATTTTTTTGGGAAAATTTATAAAAATACAAATAACTGAAATATCACATTTACATAAGAATTCAGACCCTTTACTAAGTACTTTGTTGAAGCACCTTTGGCAGCTATTACAGCCTCGAGTCTTCTTGGGTGTGACGCTACAGTGGGGAAAAAAAGTATTTAGTCAGCCACCAATTGTGCAAGTTATCCCACTTAAAAAGATGAGAGAGGCCTGTAATTTTCATCATAGGTACACGTCAACTATGACAGACAAATTGAAAGAAAATCACATTGTAGGATTTTTTATGAATTTATTTGCAAATTATGGTGGAAAATAAGTATTTGGTCACCTACAAACAAGCAAGATTTCTGGCTCTCACAGACCTGTAATTTCTTCTTTAAGAGGCTCCTCTGTCCTCCACTCGTTACCTGTATTAATGGCACCTGTTTGAACTTGTTATCAGTATAAAAGACACCTGTCCACAACCTCAAACAGTCACACTCCAAACTCCACTATGGCCAAGACCAAAGAGCTGTCAAAGGACACCAGAAACAAAATTGTAGACCTGCACCAGGCTGGGAAGACTGAATCTGCAATAGGTAAGCAGCTTGGTTTGAAGAAATCAACTGTGGGAGCAATTATTAGGAAATGGAAGACATACAAGACCACTGATAATCTCCCTCGATCTGGGGCTCCACGCAAGATCTCACCCCGTGGGGTCAAAATGATCACAAGAACGGTGAGCAAAAATCCCAGAACCACACGGGTGGACCTAGTGAATGACCTGCAGAGAGCTTGGACCAAAGTAACAAAGCCTACCATCAGTAACACACTACGCCGCCAGGGACTCAAATCCTGCAGTGCCAGACGTGTCCCCCTGCTTAAGCCAGTACATGTCCAGGCCCGTCTGAAGTTTGCTAGAGTGCATTTGGATGATCCAGAAGAGGATTGGGAGAATGTCATATGGTCAGATGAAACCAAAATAGAACTTTTTGGTAAAAACTCAACAAGTCGTGTTTGGAGGACAAAGAATGCTGAGTTGCATCCAAAGAACACCATACCTACTGTGAAGCATGGGGGTGGAAACATCATGCTTTGGGGCTGTTTTTCTGCAAAGGGACCAGGACGACTGATCCGTGTAAAGGAAAGAATGAATGGGGCCATGTATCGTGAGATTTTGAGTGAAAACCTCCTTCCATCAGCAAGGGCATTGAAGATGAAACGTGGCTGGGTCTTTCAGCATGACAATGATCCCAAACACACCGCCCGGGCAACGAAGGAGTGGCATCGTAAGAAGCATTTCAAGGTCCTGGAGTGGCCTAGCCAGTCTCCAGATCTCAACCCCATACAAAATCTTTGGAGAGAGTTGAAAGTCCGTGTTGCCCAGTGACAGCCCCAAAACATCACTGCTCTAGAGGAGATCTGCATGGAGGAATGGGCCAAAATACCAGCAACAGTGTGTGAAAACCTTGTGAAGACTTACAGAAAACGTTTGACCTGTGTCATTGCCAACAAAGGGTATATAACAAAGTATTGACCAAATACTTATTTTCCACCATAATTTGCAAATAAATTCATAAAAAATCCTACAATGTGATTTTCTGGATTTTTTTTCCTCATTTTGTCTGTCATAGTTGACTTGTACCTATGATGAAGATTACAGGCCTCTCTCATCTTTTTAAGTGGGAGAACATGCACAATTGGTGGCTGACTAAATACTTTTTTTCCCCACTGTACAAGCTTGGCACACCTGTATTTGGAGAGTTTCTCCCATTCTTCTCTGCAGATCCTCTCAAGCTCTGTCAGGTTGGATGGGGAGCGTCGCTGCACAGCTTTTTTCAGGTCTCTCCAGAAATGTTAGATTGGGTTCAAGTCTGGGCTCTGTCTGGGCCACTCAAGGACATTCAGAGACTTGTCCCGAAGCCACTCCTGCGTCGTCTTCGCTGTGTGCTTAGGGTTGTTGTCCTGTTGGAAGGTAAACCTTCGCCCCAGTCTGAGGTCCAGAGCACTCTGGAGCAGGTTTTCAACAAGGATCTCTCTGTACTTTGCTCCGTTCATCTTTACCTCGATCCTGAATAGTCTCCCCGTCCCTGCCACCGAAAACATCCCCACAACATGATGCTGCTACCACCATGCTTCACCGTAGGGATGGTGCTAGGTTTCCTCCAGACGTGACACTTGGCACTCAGGCCAAAGAGTTCCATCTTGGTTTAATCAGACTAAAGAATCTTGTTTCTCATGGTCTGAGATTCTTTAGGTGCCTATTGGCAAACTCCAAGCTGGCTGTCATGTGCCTTTTACTGAGGAGTGGCTTCCGTCTGGTCACTCTACCATAAAGGCCTGATTTGTGGAGTGCTGCTGAGATGGTTGTCTTTCTGGAAGGTTCTCCCATCTCCACAGAGGAACTCTGGAGCTCTGTCAGAGTGACCATCGGGTTCTTGGTCACCTCCCTGACCAAGGCTCTTCTCCCCCTAATTGCTCAGTTTGGCCGGGCGGCCAGCTCTAGGAAGAGTCTTGGTGGTTCCAAACTTCTTCCATTTAAGAATGATGGAGGCCACTGTGTTCTTGGGTACCTTCAACGCTGTAGAAATGTTTTGGAACCCTTCCTCAGATCTTTGCCTTGACGCAATCCTGTCTCTGAGCTCTACAGACAATTATTTCGACCTCATGGCTTGGTTTTTGCTCTGACATGCACTGTCAACTGTGGGACCTTATATAGACAGGTGTGTGCCTTTCCAAATCATGTTCAATCAATTGAATTTACCACAGGTGGACTCCAATCAAGTTGTAGAAACATGTCAAGGATGATCAGTGGAAACAGGATTCACTTGAGCTCAATATTTAGTCTCATAGCAAAGGGTCTGAATCCTTATTTAAATAAGATATTTCTGGTTTTTGTTTTCAATAAATGTTCACAAATAAATAAATAAAACAGTGTTTGCTTTGTTATTATGGGGTATTGTGTGTAGATTGATGAGGAAAATGTTTTATTTAATCCATTTTAGAATAAGGCTGTAACATAACAAAATGTGGAAAAAGTGAAGGGGTCTCAATACTTTCCGAATGCACCGTATATAGAAAAGTATGTGGACACCCCTTCAAATGAATGGATTTGGCTATTTCAGCCACACCCGTTGCTGACAGGTGTATAAAATCGAACACGTAGCCATGCAATCTCCATAGACAAACATTGGCAGTAGAATGGCCTTACAGAAGAGCATAGGATGCCAGCTTTCCAACAAGCCAGTTTGCAAAATTTCTGCCCTGCTAGTGCTGCACCTGTCAACTGTAAGTGCTGTTATTGTAAAGTGGAAAGTCTAGGAGCAACAACGGCTCCTAGGCCACACAAGCTCACAGGACGTGACCACCGAGTACTGAAACGTGTAGCATGTAAAAATTGTCTGTCCTCGGTTGCAATACTCACTACCGAGTTCCAAACTGCCTCTGGAAGCAACGTCAGCACAATAACTGTTCGTCGGGAGCTTCATGAAAGCAGCTGCACTCAAGCCTAAGATCACCATGCGCAGTGCCAAGCGTTGGCTGGAGTGATGTAAAGCTCGCTGCCATTGGACTCTGGAGCAGTGGAAATGCGTTCTCTGAACTTATTAATCATGCTTCACCATCTGGCAGTCCGACAGACAAATCTGGGTTTGCGGATGCCAGGAGAATGCTATCTGCCCCAAATGCATAGTTTGGTGGAGGAGGAATAATGGTATTGGGCTGTTTTTCATGGTTTGGGGTAGGCCCCTTAGTTCCAGTGAAGGGAAATCTTAACGCTACAGCATACAATGACATTCTAGACAATTCTGTGCTTCCAACTTTGTGGCAACAGTTTGGGGAAGGCCCTTTCCTATTTCAGCATGACAATACCCCGGTGCACAAAGCGAGGTCCATACAGAAATGGTTTATCGAGATCAGTGTGGAAGAACTTGACTGGCCTGCGCAGAGACCTGACCCCAACCCCATCGAACACCTTTGGGATTAAATGGAACGCTGACTGCGAGCCAGGCCTAATCGCCCAACATCAGTGCCCGACCTCACTAATGCTTTTGTGGCTGAATGGAAGCAAGTCCCCTTAGCAATGTTCCAACATCTAGTGGAAAGCCTTCCCAGAAGAGTGGAGGCTGTTATAGCAGCAAAGGGGGGACCAACTCCATATTAATGCCCATGATTTTGGAATGAGATGTTCGACGAGCAGATGTCAACATACTTTTGGTCATGTAGTGTATGTGACCCGTTTCAGGAAGCTAGGCTTATGGCCGCCCAACAACCTGCCCGCTTGACCCTATCCCCTCCTCTCTTCTCCAGACCATCTCCGGTGACCTTCTCCCTTACCTCACCTCGCTGATCAACTCATCCTTGAACGCTGGCTATGTCCCTTCCGTCTTCAAGAGAGCGAGAGTTGCACCCCTTCTCAAAAAACCAACACTCGATCCCTCTGATGTCAACAACTACAGACCAGTATCCCTTCTTTCTTTTCTCTCCAAAACTATTGAGCGTGCCGTCTTTAGCCAACTCTCTTGCTATCTCTCTCAGAATGACCTTCTTGATCCAAACCAGTCAGGTTTCAAGACTGGTCATTCAACTGAGACTGCTCTTCTCTGTGTCACAGAGGCTCTCCGCACTGCTAAAGCTAACTCTCTCTCCTCTGCTCTTGTCCTTCTAGACCTGTCTGCTGCCTTTGATACTGTGAACCATCAGATCCTCCTCTCCACCCTCTCCGAGCTGGGCATCTCCGGCGCGGCTCACTCTTGGATTGCGTCCTACCTGACCGGTCGCTCCTACCAAGTGGCGTGGCGAGAAGCTGTCTCCGCACCACGTGCTCTCACCACTGGTGTCCCCCAGGGCTCAGTTCTAGGCCCTCTCCTATTCTCGCTATACACAAAGTCACTTGGCTCTGTCATATCCTCACATGGCCTCTCCTATCATTGCTACGCTGACGACACACAACTAATCTTCTCCTTTCCCCCTTCTGATAACCAGGTGGCGAATCGCATCTCTGCATATCTGGCAGACATATCAGTATGGATGACGGATCACCACCTCAAGCTGAACCTCGGCAAGACGGAGCTGCTCTTCCTCCCGGGGAAGGACTGCCCGTTCCATGATCTCGCCATCACGGTTGACAACTCCGTTGTGTCCTCCTCCCAGAGTGCGAAGTGCCTTGGCGTGACCCTGGACAACACCCTGTCGTTCTCCGCTAACATCAAGGCGGTGACCCGATCCTGTAGGTTCATGCTCTACAACATTCGGAGAGTACGACCCTGCCTTACACAGGAAGCGGCACAGGTCCTAATCCAGGCACTTGTCATCTCCCGTCTGGATTACTGCAACTCGCTGTTGGCTGGGCTCCCTGCCTGTGCCATTAAACCCCTACAACTCATCCAGAATGCAGCAGCCCGTCTGGTGTTCAACCTTCCCAAGTTCTCTCATGTCACCCCGCTCCTCCGCACACTCCACTGGCTTCCAGTTGAAGCTCGCATCTGCTACAAGTCCATGGTGCTTGCCTACGGAGCTGTGAGGGGAACGGCACCTCCGTACCTTCAGGCTCTGATCAGTCCCTACACCCAAACGAGGGCTCTGCGTTCATCCACCTCTGGCCTGCTGGCTCCCCTACCTCTGCGGAAGCATAGTTCCCGCTCAGCCCAGTCAAAACTGTTCGCTGCTCTGGCACCCCAATGGTGGAACAAGCTCCCTCACGACGCCAGGACAGCGGAGTCACTCACCACCTTCCGGAGACATTTGAAACCCCACCTCTTTAAGGAATACCTGGGATAGGATAAAGTAATCCTTCTACCCCCCCCCCTTTACTCCAACCCCCCCCAAAAAAAACAAAAACAAAAAAAACACATTGTAAAGTGGTTATCCCACTGGCTATAAGGTGAATGCACCTATTTGTAAGTCGCTCTGGATAAGAGCGTCTGCTAAATGACGTAAATGTAAATGTAATGTCGCATGTTACTACTTCACAGGAGAGGCATTTGAACGTAAACATTTTTTTCATTAACATTTATTTTGGGGCAGAAATGCCTTCTGGATCATGTGAACTTTCATGTGCCTTAATAACAAACTTGTATGCCATCTGTAAATATTTTTTAATTTACGAGCCTAGTTGGTTTAGTCACGGAAGAAGACAGGAACCTTCCCACTTCTGTCTATAACATGAGCTGCTCAGTATGTGTAGATAATCCTTGCCACTGCTGCTTTTTTGAAAGATATCATGGAGAACTGCAAAAGTGTTGCTACTGCTCTCAACATTTCTGCCCTGAATTTAACAGGCGCTATCGACAAAGATCAGTATAAAAAAAGTTGTGATGGACTACTTTCTGGAGGATGATCTTGCCATGCTGACTCTCTCTGACTGAAAATTAATCGGAAATTGTAGAGTCTTTGGATGACAGTGATGGGGAAGAAACGGCAACCAACAGTGTTGTTGTCATGGAAGATGTTGACCGAGTTTTGAAATCATTGGAATGCCCGATGAAAGCAGATTATGATTGCAAATGCGGAGGGAGTCGAAAAGAGAACACAGAAGGCTGTTGTATAAAACACCTGTCTCCGGATTACATCTTCAATCTAAGGGCAACCATGGCATCCATGACAGAGGGAGAAGCGTTCATCCATGTATTAGGGTAAGAGTCTAGCTACATTTTCAGATATTATACGTTTCTAATTTTGTCAGAAAGTAATTTTCATTGCAAGTTCAAGCATACTGTTAGCTGGCTGGCTCGCTAACTAACGTTTTGTGTATGATCTGTTTAGTAATATTATTTGTATCTCAGAAAGCCATTTGCATTGCTAGTTATAGCCTACTGTTAGATAGCTAGCTACCATTGAACCTAGTTGTTTAGCTTTAGCTACCTGCAGCTTTATGCATGGTGGCAAGCTATGACAATCAGTTTGTATTGCTAGTATTATGGGTAGGGATAATGGTTAATTGTTTAGCTACCTAGCTTGCTACATGTCTAAACAAAAGTCTCCACTATGCAAGTAACTATTTCGTTGCACCTTCTGTATCTTGTGCATGTGACAAATAAACTTTGACTTTATTTGATATAGTATGTTTACCAGAGACGGTAATGTGAAGAAAAACATGACCTGCACCAAAGTCAGATTAGGATATAGGCTAAGGACTAGATAAAGTGTATTTTTGCTACTACTTTTTGCTTCTACTTTCACCACTTTTAGTCTTCAAATCTTTGGTTGTTCACTACACTATCTTATTCACTCTGTTTAGCACATGGCTTCACATGTGAATCCTTAAAGAGATGGGGTGGGGCTAAGGGCCATTTTCTCAAAAGTGAGGTTACAAGTTTATCAACTTTCAAAGCAGAATTACTTTCCTATTGTTCCTCAACTGCAGTGTATGATATACAATTCCTAGCTCAGTCTCTACCTTTATCCAATGTAAAATACACCATTTCAAATTTTGCTACATAAGACCGAATCAAGGTGGTGGGTCACATATGGTCATTCTTATTCACACACACTAAGATGGAAAAAAAAAACTATTCAATTAGAATGATAATGGTGATTTCACACAAGTTGTTTGACAAGGCATTTTAATTATATTTCTAAACTGAAAAGACTTTAGCTATTTTGCAAACCCTCAAATAGATCTATGGATCTTTGTTTAACCAAAAGAGAATAGAAAGACAGGCGTGCAATACTGATGATGCAGACCAGATGTTTTAACACAACGTTTCCATTGATTAATGAGGGAGAAAAAGACAAGGTCATTTCCCTAACAAACACAGTTTAGTCATGGCCTGGCATCTCCCTCAGTCCCAGTGTTGGTCCACACACTTTACATATCCACAAACACGCAGGCCTTGTGAGCCAGCAGCCCCTTTCAACGAGGTGCTGAAATAGGAGAGAGGAGGAGGAAAGGTCATTTGTCGAGGAAACTGTTTCTATGGCAACACAGCATTGTTCGCATGCCAGCAGGTACAGCGTGGCAATTCAAGACTGACATCACTTCAATTGTCTCCTTTCAGGCCACTCAAACACCCTGATTGATGGTCTTATGCATATGCAAATGAGCTGCATGTCCAGGACTGGCAGAGTGTTTGTGGTCTGAAAGAGATAACATGAGTGGGTAAGCTGAGGTGACCAGGCCTGTCAGATCTACCTGCACACGACTGAAACTACAGGGATATGGGCCATGTCCAGTGACAAACAGGATGAAAAACTGATTTGTCTTGGAGCTTTCTCTCCCCCCCATCCCCGCCCTCCTCCGCACAACCCCCCCCCCCCCCCCCCCCCCTTCCCCCAAAAGTATTTTCTATAAGTAAAGCCATCTGAGCTGAGTAGCGCTGATTGAAAAAGCCACCCAGTATTTCCGTGATAAAACCCATTACTTTTCAGAGTGATACAAAGCCCAACCTGTGCCTCATAGTGCAAATCTAAATTCTTGAGAGCCCTAGGCAAGTCTGGACTGTTAATATAAGTAATAATGATGCCAGAGATTTTGTTCCAAAGAAAAATCCCTGCTGAGCTGAAATAGAGGACTCCCAGCCGCTTTCACTGAAACTACTCCATTTCTCAGGTACATGGGAGAACAAACCTTAATGAAAGCTCATAACTGTAATGAAATCGAATATGTTTCTTTCATTTTCTGTCTCAGAGTTCCTCTCTCGCTTCACTGCATTTTCCCTGATTTGAGTAGAAAAAAAGAAAAAGAAAAGTGAAGGTGCAGAAGGGGAGAGAAGTTTGGAGGCATAACTGACATATGGGTTTCACTTATGCCCTAACATCCAGAAGGATTCAGACTTGGCATGCCTGGTTCTAATCAATCTCAGAAGAGAAATGCAGCCGCATTTCCTAGGCAAATAGAGCAAATACTTTCTTATTAAACCGTGATCACGGGCATGGCAAATCTTTGATATCTATCAGCTGTACAGTATATGAACATTAATCAAACTGATCTCTCTCATTTATCGCCATACATTGGCATTGATCATCCCCATTTTGTCCTCATTGCTGCGTTTAACATGCTCTCTGATCTCAGTCACTTTGCACAGTGCTTTTCAGACCGATCAGAGTCTGTGGGCCACTGACATATGCAGATCCTGGAGTTCCAACCTTATAGATGCCCATTAGGGTCATTTCAGAGTGTCCTATCCTGCTCCTTGCCTGATTGTGGAGCATCTGTCTCTGACTATTTTATTCATGAGATTGCTCAAAAATCTCCGGCCCATGGAGATCTCAGAGTCCTCCATCAATGCATCAGGGTTCCACTCCCACCATCACTAACATATTGCTGTGTTCCCTTTTTATCTTCTCAGATGAGGCAGCAGCTATTAGCTATACTTTGCTCAGAGCACAAGTGGATGAGTATACTCAGTATTTCATGTACACATTAACTGGATGACAAAATCTTGGTTAACACGATGCATTGCTCTCTGGCTTGAACATCAGCATGATCTAAAAGGCCTTCATCTAAGCATGAGAATGGACATCTTTTGTTGTTGAGTTGAAGTAGCGACATTCTGTACATTGAGTTCAGACTAACTAAGATGACTGAAAAGATATGAAAAGGTTCAGGGAGAAAGAAAGACCGTAATAGCCTTTACTGGCTTGAAGCTAATTATCTTAGCAACGGGGGCTTAGTTGTGGCGAAGACATTAAGGGCTAATGTATCCCACCTCTTTCACCGGCTGGCTCAATTTCAAAGCCAGGCATATTTTCAAGGTGTCTGCATCCTTGGAATTCCACATTACAGGCCATTATGTTCTGGAGGGGGGTGAAAAACCAAGGTTCACTCCAGTGCATTATTGTTCATCTTATGCAAAATAAAGAGGGAGCTACTTACGGGCTAAGAGTGCCCTGGTGTGGGGTCTAACTGGGACCCAGGAAGCTAATAGGGCCTCTGGAAATGAAAGGAACTGCAACACACTGTGGAGCTGGAATTACACTGCCTCCCTTCCCTTGGATTTAACAATAGCTAATTGCTATTGTTAAAAGTACCACTACTGAGATCCGCTAAAAATACCACTACTGAGATCTGAACCTTCAAAAGCAAACCTTTGCCCAGATTTATGAAATGCAACTAGACCTACAGTACTAGTCAGAGGATTGGACACGCCTACTCAAGGGTTTTTCTTTATTTTTACTATTTTCTACATTGTAGAATAATAGTGAAGACATCAAAACTATGAAATAACACATATGGAATCATGTAGTAACCAAAACAAGTGTTAAACAAATCAGAATATATTTTTTATTTGACATTCTTCAAATAGCCATCCTTTGCCTTGATGACAGCTTTGCACACTCTTGGCATTCTCTCAACCAGCTTCACCTGGACTACTTTTCCAACTGTCTTGAAGGAGTTCCCACATATGCTTAGCAGTTGTTGGCTGCTTTTCCTTCACTCTGCCGTCCGACTCATCCGAAACCATCTCATTTGGGTTGAGGTCGGGGGATTGCGGAGGCCAGGTCATCTGATGCAACACTCCATCACTCTCCTTCTTGGTAAAATAGCATTTACACAGCCTGGAGGTGTGTTGGGTCATTGTGCTGTTGAAAAACAAATGATAGTCCCACTAAGCCCAAACCAGATGGGATATAGCGTATTGCTGCAGAATGCTGTCGTAGCCATGCTGGTTAAGTGTTCCTTGAATTCTAAATAAATCACAGACAGTGTCACCAACAAAGCACCCAAACACCATAACACCTCCTCCTCCATGCTTTACGGTGGGAACTACACATGCAGAGATCATCCGTTCACCCACACCGTGTCTCAAAAAGACACGGCGGTTGGAACTAAAAATCTCCAATTTGGACTCTAGACCAAAGGACACATTCCCACCTGTCTAATGTCCATTGCTCATGTGTCTTGGCCCAAGCAGCTCTCTTATTATTGGTGTCCTTTAATAGTGGTTTCTTTGCAGCAATTCTGAACCGTTGATGTTGAGATGTGTCTGTCACTTGAACTCTGTGAAGTATTTATTTGGGCTGCAATTTCTGAGGCTGGTAGCTCTAATGAACTTATCCTCTGCAGCAGAGGTAACGCTGGGTCTTCCATTCCTGTGGTGGTCCTCATGAGAGCCAGTTTCATCATAGCGCTTGATGGTTTTTGCGACTGCCAAGAGAATGCCAAGAGTGTGCAAAGCTGTCATCAATGCAAAGGGTGGATATTTGAAGAATCTCAAATACAAACTACATTTTTTTGGTTACTACATGATTCCATATGTGTTATTTCATAGTTTTGATGTCTTCACTATTATTCTACAATGTAAAAAATAGTAAAAATAAAGAAAAACCCTTGAATGAGTAAGTGTGTCCAAGCTTTTGACTGCTAATGTATATACACACCACACTAGGGCTATCCCAGACTAAAGAAAATCTTGGTCGACCCGAAAGTCGTCTTTCGAAAGTCGTCTTTCGACCAATCGATTGGTCAACATTTTTAAATGTGTATTTTTCCATATATAGACACACCCTATGTGTTTTAATAAAATCAACTATATGCATTGAGCTTGTCTGATGCGTTAATCTTACCGTTTGATGAAATAACACACAAATTACTCAAGAAGGAGCCAGAGATCTAGATAACCAGAAGACTAAAACCTTAACCTCACTAGACCATTCTCCTCCATTTCCGGCTGGCTTTCGCAGATTCTGCCATTACTCTCCTGAAGTTGCCGGTAATAGGCTACATGAGGAGTTGGCAACCTTTCTCATGTGGAATGCCAATTTTTCTTACAATTTCTACAGATCTGAGTGCCAGTTATGGTTTTCATATGCACATTTTCGTGGAACAGTTTCATTTAATTTATAATAACGTCTTCTTATCTCAAAATCATTGTCATGTGGTTACTCAAAATTCTATCCAAATCTAAATTAAAATGATACAAACCTAAAAAGTAACTTCTATTGTCATTGCCAACTATGTAAAAATAGCCTACATAAAGCCAACAAATAAAAACATTGCCGATAAAAACATTATCAGAAAATATCCTGATAAAAAAATATATATCCTATAAATCATATTGGCGATGCATGGCCTGTCTGCAACGAACTTGAAACATTGTATCAACTATTAACTTGGGGTCTGGCCGAAGAAAGCTTGAGCTAGCGAACTTGCAACATTGTATAAAATATTCTGGGCACACCGAGTTTCCAGTTCCAGTGAGCTCGGGACAGACACAGCTGTAGACTATTTGTGCAAGGGATAAGAAGCAGTGCTTGACTTGAGCAGGAGCTCACCGGAGCTGAGTACTGACACCTCAAATGTTCTACTGCTTGAGCTCCTGTTCCTCTTAAAGAATATTAGCTCAAAAGTATTGTGGTGCTCCTGCACCTCAATATAAACAGTACCAGCACCCAGATTGAGTACCGGAACCTATTTCAGTCTAAGTAAAGCACTGATAAGAAGTAATCAGGTAGGCTTATTTTATGACGTTTCCACTGGATCAGAGCATGACATTTTTCCCTTTCATGCTGAGTGGTTATTGAAAGGTAGAGAGCTGGAAAGATTTTTCAAATACATTGAGGAACTGTTGTCATTCTCAACAGATTCGTTTGCTTGCTGTTTGAGGTGAAGAAAACATTACCTTGAGAAGATCCACAGCTCATTAGTGGTGGTGCGTTAAGCCAATCAGAAATACTGTCAGATCCCCAAATGGGCATATTTACAGTGCCTTGCAAAAGTATTCATCCCCCTTGGTGTTTTTCCTATTTCGTTGCATTACAACCTGTAATTTAAATTGATTTTTATTTGGATTTCATGTAATGGACATACACAAAATAGTCGAATTTGGTGAAGTGAAATTAAAAAAATAACGGAAAAGTGGTGAGTGCATATGTATTCAACCCCTTTGCTATGAAGCCCCTAAATAAGATCTGGTGCAACCAATTACCTTCAGAAGTCACATAATTAGTTAAATAAAGTCCACCTGTGTGCAATCAAAGCATCACATGATCTGTCACATGATCTCAGTATATATACACCTGTTCTGAAAGGCCCCAGAGTCTGCAACACCACTAAGCAAGGGGCACCACCAAGCAACCAGCACCATGAAGACCAAGGAGGTCTCCAAACAGGTCAGGGACAAAGTTGTGGAGAAGTACAGATCAGGGTTGGGTTATAAAAAAATATCCGAAACTTTGAACATCCCACGGAGCACCATTAAATACATTATACAAAAATAGAAAGAATATGGCACCACAACAAACCTGCCAAGAGAGGGCCGCCCACAAAAACTCACGGACCAGGCAAGGAGGGCATTAATCAGAGAGGCAACAAAGAGACCAAAGATAACCCTGAAGGAGCTGCAAAGCTCCACAGCGGAGATTGGAGTATCTTTCCATAGGACCACTTTAAGCCGTACACTCCACAGAGCTGGACTTTACGGAAGAGTGGCCAGAAAAAAGCCATGCTTAAAGAAAAAAATAAGCAAACATGTTTGGTGTTCGCCAAAAGCCATGTGGGAGACTCCCCAAACATATGGAAGAAGGTACTCTGGTCAGATGAGACTAAAATTGAGCTTTTTGGCCATCAAGGAAAACGCTATGTCTGGCGCAAACCCAACACATCTCATCACCCCGAGAACACCATCCCCACAGTGAAGCATGGTGGTGGCAGCATCATACTGTGGGGATGTTTTTCATTGGCAGGGACTGGGAAACTGGTCAGAATTGAAGGAATGATGGATGGCACTAAATACAGGGAAATTCTTGAAAGAAACCTGTTTCAGTCTTCCAGAGATTTGAGACTGGGACGGAGGTTCACCTTCCAGCAGGACAATGACCCTAAGCATACTGCTAAAGCAACACTCGAGTGGTTTAAGGGGAAACATTTAAATGTCTTGGAATGGCCTAGTCAAAGCCCAGACCTCAATCCAACTGAGAATCTGTGGTATGACTTAAAGATTGTTGTACACCAGCAGAACCCATCCAACTTGAAGGAGCTGGAGCAGTTTTGCCTTGAAGAATGGGCAAAAATCCCAGTGGCTAGATGTGCCAAGCTTATAGAGACATACCCCAAGAGACTTGTAGCTGTAATTGCTGCAAAAGGTGGCTATACAAAGTATTGACTTTGGGTGGGTGAATAGTTACGCACGCTCAAGTTCTCAGTTTTTTTGTCTTATTTCTTGTTTGTTTCACACAAAAAAATATTTTGCATCTTCAAAGTAGTAGGCATGTTGTGTAAATGAAATGATACAAACCCCCCAAAAATCTATTTTAATTCCAGGTTGTAAGGCAACAAAATAGGAAAAATTCCAAGGGGAGTGAATACTCTCGCAAGCCACTGTATATGCCTACATTTCCACTTAGGCCAGGTAGCCTATTGGCCTATATACTTCTATGCGTAATCAGGTGCGCATCCTTACTCAACATTGACAGTAGCGCTTCAAACAAAAGACAATGACTAAATTGAATTGACAAAACTCGTAAATGGAATGAAATACTGTAAACTAAAACTTGTTTCTCACAAGTATAGCATAGGTTGTGCGCTCTGAAAACAATGTGTCCACTCCGAACAGTAAGACTGAAATAATAATATATTTAATGCATTAACAGAAATTACCATAACCAAACAAACATTGTAGATTAATAATTATAGGAATTAATGGGAAATGTACTACTGGTGATATACAGTATGTAATGGGGAAATGATATATACACTAACAATCAAACGCAAACAATTCACACAATTAAGTTATGAAAAATGTATGTGCACAAATTGGCGGGAGAGATCACATTCTGGAGCGAGAAGTGCATTGTGCATCTGGGCGCTGCATGGTCAATCCAACGTCTGCATTGGCCGTGCAGCATTTACGGTGATACGCCTCTGCAGAAGTCAGGGCATTCATACTTCTTGCGCTTCGCAGAGCAGTGCAGAGCTGTTGTGAAGGAAGTTGTCAAGGAAGTGAGTTTGTGTTTATACAGGATGTACCGCCCCTACCTACCATCAACCGAGCCCTCTGCATTGCTACAACATTTGGGAGGTGCATGGAGATGCAGTACGGAGCTCGATTTGGTCTCTGCATGCCTCCGAGGCTCAGTAATTGTGTCACACCCTCCATATGGAGCCTCCGACCACATTTTCGTATCAAGCATAAATTGGCTCTTAGTCTAGGCCTCCGCAAGGGATTAATTCACTGAGATGGGTGCATATATATATATATATATATATATATATATATATATATATATATATATATATATATATATATATATTTGCTACTGCTCAACTAAAAACAACTTGGTCGACCAAAAGCCTATTGACCAAACAATCGACCAGTTGACTAATTGGGGTCAGCCCTACACCGTACACCTCTATACCACTGGTGTACCACTGAGGCTAGCTCAAATCGGAGATCTGGAGGAGGACAGGACAATTCTTATCCTTGTTCTAAATCCTGGATGGGGTTGGAGACAACACCACACTACAAGGCTAGTGGAGCCAGGATGGGAGGAAGGGGAGGACGTAACGACCCATGGCTGCAGTGTCCTGAGGCCAAGTCCTCTGTTGACGCTGTACTTCAACAGATAACCATATCCCTGCAGCATGGCCATAAGTTAGGCAGAAGCAGCCAGAGAGGATTGCTCAGAGGAAGAGGCCTTGGTAATACTGTGGAGACACAGGCTGGCCTGCTCAGTCATACTGGCCTTCCTAGTTATTCTGGCATGCTCAGTCACAAAGCTACATGGAAACTTAAATGCACCAGTGGCGACCCGTCATTCAGGGCAGGTGGGTGTCACATATCAGTTTGCAAACAATGTAAAAAAAGAATCTTTTAGTTAATAAAGCTGCATATAAACATGGTCTCTTTTATGCTTTGAGTAAGGCAGCTCCAAAATGCAGGTGTTTTAGCCTAGCTCAGTGCTTTATGTGGTGGAGGGTCAGCCAGCGGAAAATACAGAGCGTAGGGGTTGGTAATGTTCTCTAGTTGCGCCATGATTGGCTCAGTGTTCTGTCATTAATGGGGACACTACGTCACCGCAAAATCTACAGGGAGAGCTAGAAAGTTAAAGCCCCTTGGGTGATGCAATAGATTTACATTATAAGTGCCCATCCAAGCCTCCCGAGTGGCGCAGTGGTCTAAGGCACTGCATTGCAGTGCTAGAGGCGTCACTACAGATCCGGGTTCGATCCCGGGACACCCAAGAGGCGGCGCACAATTGGCCCAGCGTCGTCCGGGCTTGGGGAGGGTTTGACCAGCCGGGATGTCCTTGTCCCATCGTGCTCTAGCGACTCCTGTGGCGGGCCAGGCGCATGCACGCTGACACAGTCGCCAGATGGACGGTGTTTCCTCTGACACATTGCTGCTGCTGACTTCCGGGTTAAGCGAGCAGTTTGGCAGGGTCGTGTTTCGGAGGACGCATGGCTCTCCACTTTCGCCTCTCCCGAGTCCGTACGGGAGTTGCAGCGATGGGACAAGACTGCAACTACCAATTGGTTATCACGAACTTGGGGAGAAAAAGGGGTAAAAAATACCACAAAAAAAAGATGTGCCCATCCAAGAAGGCACAAGGTCATTGGCCACAGATAAAATTACATCAAATCACATTATAATTACCTTAGCTTTGATTGGACTGATCATGTCAACATTATACTTTCAAAATCTTAGCTAGCAAGATGAATCTACTGTCTACTGGCATTTACTAAATGTTCAGATATAAATGTAATGTGTAGATCAAATATGATTGTCAGATAGATTGGAATAGTATAGGTGATTGTGTGTGCTCTATTCATTTTATTTCTATATTCAACATGCCGTTCCAGATACAGCCCTGCCATTAGTTGAAGTCAGCCAATCCAATAGTTTCAGAAAAGTAGTTGCTTTCTCAGATTTGTATTCAAATTGTTAAAAAGAGGGAGAAAGGACAGAATAAATGGTGTCGATTGAGCTGACTTACAATCTGTGCATTAGAGCAGAGAGTATATTGTGACGCAACTAATGGAATTAACAAACTAGCGCCGCACAGCCTCTGAGGGCTACAGTAGTAAAACCAAACTGTGCCCTCTCACACTAAGCCCTCGCACTGACCTACAAATGTCATCTCACCATCTCATCCCCTGCTATTCCTGTGTGCTCCTATTACTATGAGCATTGAAATTAATCAACGGGCAGCCAATCTCGTTATCAGTCCACATACTCTAGGCCCACTGCACCTACACAATGCACACAAAACAGCCTTTGAGGTGAATATACAGGCAGAAAGAAACCCACTGAAAGACAGGAACAAATAGACAGCCCTGTATGTCTCCTGCTGTTTCTTCAGATCACAGTGGCATGGCTATGATCTGGTATTCTGGGAAACCTGTCCTGGCGCGCCGCACCACTCGCCATCTCCTCACACTCATGTTGTTTGGCCCCAGACCCAATCCTCCTCTTCCTAAAGGCTCATTCATATTCCAGTAGTCTCTCCCAGACAAAGACAGCACACCAGCAGCCACAAACCCATCAATATTACATCCCAATCTTAGTCTGCGCAGCCCGCACACACAGCTCCTTAAGCCAAAGGACAAACGCTCCCCTTGACAATGGAAATGATCTATCATCTCTGTTTATGACAACTCGTCTACAAGCAGTCGCACACGTCACTATGGATTCACACAATGGTAATGGCTGTATCTTCCGCCCGTTCTCTCTCAAGTCTGTCCCAGCTCTATTTCTGTATCAAGATTATATTTTGTTGTCTACATCCCTCAATATTGCATTCTACCATAACCAAATAATCAATACTGTGCATACTATGTCTATTTAGGCCTGTATTTATGGCTTTTAACATAAGGCTTTATTCTGACATGTTTAAATTATGTTCAGGATTCCACTGGAACATGAAGGGCACATGCACACACAAAGATTAAGGCCCAGAACAAATAATGCGGGCAAATGAGAACAAACGACATTGGCGCTGTGTTTGGGGTAGAGCCGTGTTTGGTAATGGTTGAACCGTGTTTGGTAATGGTTGAACCGGGGAGCAGAAGTGCATGACATCAGATGTTGCGTGGAGCCAAACTGCTCTTAATGGAGAGGTTGGCTCGGCTCTCCGCGGCTGAGACGGCGTGCATTCTCATCAGCCCAGGGTCATTACGAGCCTACCCTGCTCTACCTGATATCCCCCACCATATGGCTGTGGCTGACACAGGCCCACACACACATCTGAACCCTGACTGCAGTGTTGAAGCTGTACACACGGACAGTTTTATGTCCTCATTTATCTCGGTGACTAATGACACATCACCTGCCAGGGAATAGGAGAATAGAGGGAACAGAAGGTGGAGGGTGAGAACAAGCACGTGTCCCTTTTGCAAGAAATTGGATCAGATGGTAGCAGAAACTTCACGAAGTCCATCTCAAGCAGTTGTGTTAAAGTTCTGGTGCATTCTGTCTCTTTTCTGTCTTCCGCGCGCTCTCTCTCTCTCTTGCCCTCAATTCTCATATTCGTCAGGTGACACCTGCTCTCCATGGTAAAGTCTATCCATGGAGGAAAGTGCTGTGTGATGTTTGAGTGAGAGTGAGGTGAGGACAAGGTGAGCCATAGCTCTGGGTGAGGTAGGCATACTGTTTAGTATCCTCAGCAGGTTTCTCCAGAGCTGCATATTCAACCCAGACACTCCTTCCTGCATGACATCTGTCTTTGTTCTTCCGTTGATATCTACCTGAGCTCATCTCCCAGGGCACACTGAACAATGCTATAGAGAGAGAGAGTAATGCAGTTCTGTGTGAGGCCTTAGCAGTTAATTCCACAGCAAACCCATCTCAGAACCACAGGCAACCGCTTAGAATGTGTCACTATAACTACAAAGTGAAAACGTCAAATAAAAATGTCATAATAAAACCTGCACCCATTGAATTACTGTACTGTGTAAGGCAATAGCATAACCTAGGTCATACAATAGTAGTGAACTCAGTACAAGTCACAATACATCTTTCATGTTAAAGATTAATAACAAATAGAGATAGAACTTCTATGTAGCACCTGGAAGTGTCTGCCTTCTGCTTTGAACGGCAATTCCCTACCACAGGAAAAGTTTCTGAAATTACCAGATTTACTTTAGTTAGTGCTACTTATTTATAACAAAATCCATCTAAAGGAAGCAGTGTGTATGCCACGGAGTCTGTGTGTCATGAGAGGGCTGAAAACCACAGGATAGTGGGTTTGATTCCCCGGACCACCATACGTAAAATGTATGCACTATTGACTTTACGTCACTTTGGATAAAAGCGTCTGCTAAACGGCATATACTGTATACAATTGATTATTTCCACAAACAATACTGAACGATTACAGACAAGTGTTAGGACACCGCTATGCGACTGACTGTCTTTGATTGGGGAATGACCTTTGTTATCCATTTGACTAAAGTAGAATGATATTCAAATGTTTCCTTCATTTTAAACAAGGTTTAGATATGAATTCCCATGACTTTGACCAACAGGGTTTGTCTATGCTATGTTTCAATGACTTTCTAGATGTAAACTTTGTCGGTGCAGGGAGCCAGCAGCTTTCCATTCTATTAGGAATTCCTCCCCGCTGAGTGTCCGGGCCAGGAGCAGCCCAGCCTGTGAATGATGTAGCTTATCTCTCCTCCCAGACACTAATACGCCTGGCCACCATCTGACTGTGTGTTTTCATGAGCCCAACAGAGATGTGTTTGATCAAATTAATCAACGTGAGAGCTACAGCATTGTGCATACAATAACGTTTTGTAGACAAATACAATGTAGGAGCGGGCCCAACCTGTCACTCATCACGGTTTCATCCTCAAATTAATATTGATGGGCTTTAGTCTGGATCCAAACTAAGCAGCACATCTGTCACCCCGTTTTTAAATTGACAAACTGACAGGAATGTTAAAAGCCTTTTTTGCAATTGTTTTCGCATGGATTTAGTATCCTGTGAAATTGAATGAGAAAGGGTGCAGTTAGCTACTGAATATTCTGAGAGAGTTAAGGGTCATTGCTTGTCCAACCCCGTGAAGGAAGAATGAATAATCCACACTCTGTGGACCAGGAAAGTGAGATTGGAGAGGCGCTTTTTACTGAAAATAACCCAAAACTCCCCTTAATCTCTTCCATTTTCCATAGAAAACAACATCCTTGTGTAGAGTGAAATCCTATAGCGCCACAGATGACCAGGTGAGTCTGGGGTTTGGAGAGCGTGACGTGCAGGTGATTGGAAAGAGAGACGTATAGGCTTGGGTGGTATACTGTATACCAGGGTATTTTGAAATACCGACGGTATGATTTTCAAAACCGTCCCCCAAAAACTGTATTGGTTTGAGGTAGGGATGGGCATGAGTACTCGAGTACTCGAACGGATGTCAAAGCTCGATCTTTAACAGATTTTAATTTTTTCAAATACTTTAAAACTATTTGGTGTAATGTGCTTTGTGGCTGCCCGAACGGGCAAGTGACATTTTGTCTTGAAGACAACGTTAATTTGCTTTGACTCTAGTGTTCAATTTGTACATGTGCATTTGCGAGGCACAACAAAAAAGACCCCAAGCCAAGCATCACACTGTTCTTCTCCCTAAATTCCCTTTCCGCTCCATGTCTCATTCAATCAATTGCGTTCCGACCACTCCCTCCACACACGCATGCTGAGTGCACACACAAGCTCCCGTTAGTCCTACAGAATTAAATTCCTATAAAAACGTATCTATCTGATGGGATACACAACCTACATTCCTTGCCAAATGACGACAGTTTTATCCCAAATGTAAAATGGACTTCTTGATTGTAGTAGAAAAATATGTGTTCCAACAATGAGCTGCAGTTTTGGAATAATTGCATCCTATCTATTTTCTGCTTAAGCTACTTTGCGAACTGCTAGTGCCATTTAGAATTGGTTAGCCTCGGCTATAACCCCCTAAACATAGACAGGTTCCACACTGAAAATATGCAAAAACATTAGTTTGATAAAGACAAAGAGCGTATTTTCATCAGAATCATTAAGCATAATATGGTAATATGGTAATGGCAATGAATAACAGCCATGACATCTGTTTGGTGAGTAGGCATATTACACCAAACAGATGTCATGGCTGTAATTCATTACCATGCCATGTTCAATGTGGAATTGTTCATCCATTTTGAAAATTTCAAAGAACAGATCAAACTAAATCGAACGTCTGTATATCGAAAATAACACTGATTTTGGTTTGTAACCCTGAATTTTTTTTCTTTCAACTCGCTAAATCGAGCCCTGTTTCAAAAAATCTATTTTTGAGAATAACTGTTCCAGCCATGAGATGCACATCACTCTGCACTAGCAACGTTTTTCATTTGGAAAACTATTCTGTTGTATTTCATTCTATTATATTACATCATGTTTTTTTAAACTATAAAATAGGTGTGTCTTGACTGTGATAAGGGTTCTGGAAATAAGAGTGTCTTGTCTGCTAAATTACCAAAACAAGGCTATGCCATTGCACAGCCAAGCAAGCGCCACTGCTGTGGTTACTACCTTTTTGAAGATTGTGTTCCACAATATAATATAACCAGTTGATATTACGGTTTCAATAAATGAATCTTAAATGGCACTTGCTTTTTTATTGACTGAATATATATATATGGGGCAATTTAGCAATTAGGATTTGTTATCTGTAATGGTTATGATAAATTAGGCATTGTTGCGATCTGTTGACATATAGATAAATGCACACATATTTTTTTCCAGTGTGGGCCTTGTTGTGCTTTTTATTTTTCATTCGAGTACTCTAAAAAAAATCATGCGAGTACTCGAACAGTAAAAAAATGTCATATGCCCATCCACTGATTAGAAATATACGTCACCTCTCTAAGATGTGCCAAAATAAATTATCCAGCTCAGGGCTCCAGCTATGTATTTGGTTTGCTAACTCGCTAGCTAAGTGGCTAGCTTGCAAGAGCAAGCTTCTTGGTTACAGCAGAGACAATCAATCCCTTCCTGGATCAAGATCCCTGCTGCCTACATTTGTTTTGCGCGCCCCTTGTGTGCACTGCCGGTAATCCTGTATACCTGGTATGGTATAGGAATGGTATGAAGTAGAGCTGGGACGATAAACCAAAAATTATTGACACCGACCACTTATCGCAGGCATTTTACTGATATCGTTCATTACGATAAGTAGTACATGAAATGAAATAAGTGTGCAAATATGGGTGATTGTTAATGGGACAATTGATGGCTACAACCATCAAACTAGTAGTAGTAGTTTAAAGGATCATTTAAAAAACTGTGGCGCACATTGTTATAAACTTATCGTTCTGTTTATCGTCATCGCATTAATTCAGGCAATTTCTTGTGATATGGATTGTTGTCCATATTGCCCAGCTCTAGTATGAAGGTATGACCCACATCATGACAGAGACCGTGGGAGGTTATCTTTAGTAAAACATGATCAAGACGCTGCGGACAGGACTAAAATGAAGACTGTGAAATCTTGTGAAACTAAGAGAATGTATTGAAAAACATCCCTGGTCAGTGGAAACAGAGACAGAAACGTAGAGTTCACCTTGGCGGACGTACTCCTCGTGTTCGTGATGCACCAGCTCTGCCACACAGCCCCCGTAGCGTAGGCGCGTGCCGTGGTCGTAGGCCTTGAGCGTCTCGCTGGAGCTGTAGGACTTCTGGGTGGCCACGCGGCACTCCTCGGGCTCCAGGGACTCCGTTGCATGGTGGAAGTCCTTCCTGCAGCGGCCCCGGGTCAGGGAGCGGTGCCGGCGCTCCTTTGTGTCCATCTTCACGGCGACCGGCACTAATGCTCCGAGGGGATTGGCTTAGGTTGATGCGCTCACCTGTTAGGGGCAACAGTGAGGGAGAGGGGGAGAGAGAGAGAGAGAGAGAGAGAGAGAGAGAGAGAGAGAGAGAGAGCAGAGCTGGCATGAAAACTGACACATCAAAGTAACATGTTCACTTCCTAGAATACTAAGACCATGCTGAACTGGACTGCAAGACAGAGTCAAAAGAACTGGACTGAAAACGATGCTTGTTCAAATCTTGTGTTGGACCACCATTCAGTGATGTCTTAGGTAAGGTACTTCACTTTAGTATCTATCAATGACATGTAGTCCGTTACGCTGCCTGTGAGAGTCATGCTCTTTCAGAAGAAATTGAAAGAAATATACCAAACAAGCATTTAACAATGCATGTCTATTTCGGAGACGTCATGTCAACACAGAATGGGAGCACCATGGGGATTGGTGGAGTTGTCCCATTCCAAATCTCCTGCTGAGGTTAAAGAGATACACTCATCAACACAATCAACACCTGACTGACTACACTGTCAAAACACAGTCAGGACACACTCTCCCACTCATACAGTGAGCAGGCAGTCTCTGCTGGAGGGATGAGGACTGGGGAGCTTCACGATGTCTCAGGCTCATTATCACTTCGTGAGCTAGTTCTGTCTCCCCCAATGAGGCGAGAGAGAATGAGAATCATAGCTAGCAGACTCTGCTGGAGGGAGGAGGCCTCCGTCCAGACGCTCAGTGACACCAGCCCACTCTGCATCTGTCTGTGAGGCTGAGGCTGTGCTACACCAGCCAGGCACAGCCAAGGCCTCACAACAACCATCACCACCACCACCCCCCCACCAGCAGTAGCTGAGAAGCAGGAAACTATGGCGTCAAAGAGCAGGTAGTATAATGCATCTCCCTTTGAATAGTAGACCTCCGTATAGAACAAAACAGTAACATTCATTTTGTTATCCATCTTAACAATGTTCACACAGCAACAGATTCAGATGAACTGCACAAAAGAATAGTACAACAATTACTATTATTTGAAGCTCACAAGCATAACCTCACAGGCATAAAACGTGGAAAGATTCTTATTACACATGTCCTTGTTCCACTTCAACAACCGATAAGCCGCATATGAAAGAACACTTTACTTCTCCCTTTTAACATTTTGCAGTTTCAAAATGTTTACAGGAAACAAGGAAAAATATATTGATAATAGCTTGCATAGGAAGCTTTTGAACATTTCCTCTTTATTCCACTGACTGGGCTTGTAGCTGAGGGCAGATCAATACTTTTAATAAGGTTTTATTTGAAGTGTTTCCATATCAAGAGGAATCTCCACTCTGGGCATTGATTACCAGCAGTATTTACACACACAAAGGCCTCATCATGGTAAGTGGTAAACGCTGACACTCATCTGGACTGACAATATTAACCCACTCAACAATAGACAAGAAGTGAGTCATGATGAAACATACAGGACAGTTTCTCTTATGTAGATCTCTCTCATGTACTATGGCTCCGGCTAACCTTGCTTGTGGTCACAGGTTACCCACATGAAAAAATATTACAGTTTACTATATAATACTACAGTACTTACTATAGAATTGTGTAGTAAACTGTAGTATACTGTAGAATACTATACTACACACTGTAGTATCCCCCAATCATGTGTTTTACTTCCTATAGAATGTTGTAGTATACTGTAGAATACTATAGTAAATACTACAGTAATGTCCGCAAAAACACTACAGTCTGCAAAAACAATACACTTTTTTTTGTATTATAGGGGAACAATGGAAAAAAAGCAGTGAAACTGACTTCGAGGTCCAGAGTTGAGTTTGAGGGTACTATAGTATACAGTGAATTCGGAAATTATTCAGACCCCTTGAGTTTTTCCACATTTTGTTACGTTACAGCCTTATTCTAAAATTGATTAAATTGTTTTTTCCCCCTCATCAATCTACACACAATACCCCAAAATGACAAAGCAAAAACAGGTTATAGAATAAAAAACGGAAATATCACACTTACATAAGTATTCAGACCCTTTACTCAGTACTTTGTTGAAGCACCGTTGGCAGCGATTTCAACCTCGAGTCTTCTTGGGTATGACGCTACAAGCTTGGCACACCTGTATTTGGGGAGTTTCTCACATTCTTCTCTGCAGATCCTCTCAAGCTCTGTCAGGTTGGATGGGGAGCGTCGCTGCACAGCTTTTTTCAGGTCACTCCAGAGATGTTCGATCGGGTTCAAGTCCGGGCTCTGGCTGGGCCACTCAAGGACATTCAGAGACTTGTCCCGAAGCCACTCCTGAGTTGTCTGGGCTGTGTGCTTAGGGTCGTTGTCCTGTTGGAAGGTGAACCTTCGCCCAACTCTGAGGTCCTGAGCACTTTGGAGCAGGTTTTCATCAATGATCTCACTGTACTTTGCTCCGTTCATCTTTCCCTCGATCCTGAATAGTCTCCCAGTCCCTGCCACTGAAAAACATCCCCACAGCATGATGCTGCCACTACCATGCTTCACCATAGGGATGGTGCCAGGTTTCCTCCAGACGTGAAGTTTGGCACTCAGGCCAAAGAGTTCAGTCTTGGTTTCATCAGACCAGATAATCTTGTTTCTCATGGTCTGGGAGTCTTTAGGTGCCTTTTTGCAAACTCCAAGCTGGCTGTCATGTGCCTTTTACTGAGGAATGGCTTCCGTCTGGCCACTCTACCATAAAGGCCTGATTGGTGGAGTGCTACAGAGATGGTTGTCCTTCTGGAAGGTTCTCCCATCTCCACAGAGGAACTCTGGAGCTCTATCAGAGTGACCATCGGGTTCTTGGTCACCTCCCTGACCAAGGCCCTTCTCCCCCGATTGCTCAGTTTGTCCGGGCAGCCAGCTCTAGGAAGAGTCTTGGTGGTTCCAAACTTCTTCCAATTAAGAATGATGGAGGCCACTTAGTTCTTGGGTCCTTCAATGCTGCAGAATTGTTTTGGTACCCTTCCCCAGATCTGTGCCTCGACACAATCCTGTCTCGGAGTTCATATGGACAATTCCTTCAACCTTTTTGCTCTGACATGCACTGTCAACCATTGGACCTTATGTAGACAGGTGTGTGCCTTTCCAAATCATGTCCAATCTATTGATTTTACCACAGCTGGACTCCAATCAAGTTGTAGAAACATCTCAAGGATGATCAATGGAAACAGGATGCACCTGAGCTCAATTTCGAGTCTCATAGCAAAGGGTCTGAATACTTATGTAAATAAGGTAACAAAATTGGAAAAAGTCAAGGGTTCTGAATACTTTCCGAATGCAATGTATACTACAGTTTTCTTTCACTACAGTATTTATACTGTAGTTAACCGTAAATACTACAGTATACTACAGTGAATACTGTAGTATTCACTGTAGTGTTTTTGCAAACTTCAGTATTTAGACCATAGTATAATATAGTGTTTTTTATATGGGTTAGGAGGGATGGGATTGTGTTTGGTAGGATGATAGGAGCCATGCTGGACTGTCAATGATCAGGAGAGACTAGAGGATAGAGTGATGAAACAGCATTAAGGAGAAGAAGTTAGAGCCAAACAAAAACATCAAAGGTAGGTATACGTGCAGTCATGCACATACGAGGTACAGTAGCAATTATCAAGATGACAAGCACTAAATAAAGATTCTCATTAAAGAGCTATGCTTTCAACCTGCACAACTTAGTCGAGCCCTTTTTACCACAACGATACTGCAGCAAATTGCATAATCTGATCCTCAAACAGGTGTATTGTCAATTACAAAAACATATCTGCACATCATACCAGCACATACAGTGGGGAGAACAAGTATTTGATACACTGACAATTTTGCAGGTTTTCCTACTTACAAAGCATGTAGAGGTCTGTACTTTTTATCATAGCTACACTTCAACTGTGAGAGACGGAATCTAAAACAAAAATCCAGAAAATCACATTGTATGATTTTTAAGTAATTAATTTGCATTTTATTGCATGACATAAGTATTTGATCACCTACCAACCAGTAAGAATTCCGGCTCTCACAGACCTGTTAGTTTTCTTTAACCCTCCCGTTGTCCTAGGGTCAAAATGACCCGCCACTGTGTTGAACCAACTTTATTTAATTTTTATATTTTTTGGATCATTTGTGAGAAGGAGGCAGTGATACTTTCTTTAAAGTCTCTGTACCAAATATTAAGTTCTGCTTTTCTGATGTATCAAATACTTATGTCATGCAATAAAATGCAAATTAATTACTTAAAAATCATACAATGTGATTTTCTGGATTTTTGTTTTAGATTCCGTCTCTCACAGTTGAAGTGTAGCTATGATAAAAATTACAGACCTCTACATGCTTTGTAAGTAGGAAAACCTGCAAAATCGGCAGTGTATCAAATACTTGTTCTCCCCACTGTAATTATTAATTTAAACAACAACATAGGGACAAAACAGTTCATGAATATGAATGAGGAGTGCTAATTGACTCATTCATCCTTTTAAAACATCGTGTGTGTGACTAAATGTGTGTTTTGTTTGTAAGACAGAGTGACGGAGAGAGACAGAGAAAAAGAGAGCAAGAGAACACGTTCACACTTCCATGAAAAGTGGCACGCGAACAACAGAGGGATTTCAGATACAGTTCAGTAAGGGAACAACTAAATGGGCATGGGCCACAGTCAGTGCCAGAAGAAGAGAAAAAAATATATTGTGAGCTCACCGTGGCAGCAGCAATCCACATACTCCATTTAAACTAATCCCCAAATCCACATTGGGCAGACCTCTCAATGCCTTAATCTGCCTGAAAACAAAGGGATTTGAAAGGGTGGAGGTGCGACTTTGTGACCATAGCTGTGATGTCAGCGGTGAGTCAGACCTGTGGGTCCTGATGGGATAATTAAAGCTGCTTGGAGGGTGGGGAGAGTTAGGAGCTAGTCCAACAGGTAGAGAACAGGAGGAATGGGGAGGCAGACAAAAGGAGAGCATGTGCCAGGGAGTGCACCT